ATATATTTTAAACGTACCGGTCGAACTGACCTACATGTACCAAGTCCCAATGAAAATTCTGAATATCGAAAAGGTAAAGGCCTGTTTTACAAATCTGTTGGTGTAGTTATGGTGAAGTATTGCTAACTCATAAAAGCAAACCTGACATATTTGTAAGTCTAAATACAATACCAAAAAAAAGAAGCAGGTTACCCAAATGGAGAAGATTTTATTCGAAACGAACTGGGTTATCATGATTATGGAAAAAAAAAATCAACAAGCACAATCGACCTTAGCTACCATTGTAACTGAAAACATTCCGTTACAAGAACTTCCCCAGGAAGCAGATAGAGTAAGTGATATCATAGAAGACCTCATCCAAGACAGAGAGGTGTAAACAGAAGGATTAAACTTAAGAGAACTCGCCCGCATTAGACAAATTGTTAAAAACAGTAAAATGAGCCCTTATATTAAACAAAGGCAAGTTAGATGCATTAGACAAAAAAATACAACAGACTAAAACCAAATTAGACAAAGTGCAATCACCAGAAAACGACCAAGCAATTAGAGAATGCCTAAAAGATTTAGAGGGAGAAAGATAAGGTAGGCTAGAAGTCATAAACAGAGACACCGACTGCTTAAGGACTCAAATCAATCGCATCAAAGAAATGATCGAAGCGGTGAGACAACGATCCGACTCTACAAGATAAAATCTGTACGCTGTTTCGAGAACAAGGTGTGACAATTATAAGTATATTGACGGCTTTTAGTTCAGCGATTTCAACAATCGTGAGTTCTATCGTAGCTGGTATCAGAGCCTTAGGAGCTCCCACACCACCTGCAACACTGGCACCTGCTCCTATGCCAAGGCCACTGGGCTGGGAAGGGGCAAATGTCAGTGTGCTCTGATTGAACTAAGTGAACTCTTTGGTGGGAGGCCCAGCTGATTTTTCGTCAATTTCAGAAAACGAATTATCACAGAAAAGACTGCCCATCATTATCAGGTTGCGGAAATTGCACATCTCGGGAGCCCAACACAACAGTGGTGCTTGGAGCAAACACCAAATTCATCTTTCAAGAACCTCACAAGTGTTTCTACTTGCTGAATACATGTATAATATCAATCTTTCATCCAAATTCTCGCATTTTAGCTATTAAGCTGTCTTACATGCACATGCAGTGGTTGTTCATGGTCTTGATCATAAGTGAACAGTATTCTCATTAATACAAGTCTTAATCCATGGGCTTTAGACTATTACTTTGTGCCAGTCATGAGCCCAACTTTGTACACTTATGTGACATACATGTACAGTGCGGTACTTCACTGTGGTGGAGGTGACAATCTGCCTCTCTCTAGCAGGAGTTTGTTCCGTTGGAACATAAAGTTCACATTTATCTAAAAAATTTTTATATTTTGTTCATTGTTATGCTCAGTTTTGGCCTGTTTATATTAAAAGATTTAGTTAGTACAGTTGTAAATGTACGTAGTTTATGTGGGCCAAGTGTGGGCTCCAACCTACAATAGATAAAAAACGAGTGATTTGGAGTGCTTTTCTTTATCGTGTTTTTGTGAAAGTTTTGTGGAAAGTTTTAGCATGTGACCTGTACATGTACAAGAAGCACAAATTCTGTTTCGTGTTCAGGCTTGATGAGTATAACATGTCTATGAATTGCTTCATTGTGTATTCTTTACACAGGTGACCTCTGTAGAGAGAGCAGCTTGCACAGTGTCCATGTCTTGTACTTTTATCCGTTTTATCCACACCTGATATTTTTTCCCTTCTACCCATATTTTACAAATTTATCAATGGCTATAATCCATGAGCCATTCTGCACTTAAAATGTAATTTCTAGACCATACATGATGTATGTCACAAGGTAAGCTTATTCATTACTCCTCAATCAATTTATTACAAACCTGAATCAGCAAGTGCTTTATCATCAATCCATTTTAGTATTGACTCCATTTACTAAAGTCTATCACTGTGTAATTTTCCCACTTTTTTCTCAATACTGGAACAGTTTTTCTGAATTGCGGTTTCTCAACTTAATCTCAAAAAGCAGTAAATAATAAATTCTAATCTACAGTGAGGATAATTTCTTTGAACCCATTCTTGGTATGTATTGGGATTATTTTAATTGCTAGAGAGGTTAATCCTTAACTTAAAACTTAGGTGTACCCACCGCCATGGGTAACACCACCCCATCAGCAAAACCCTGACATCAGCAAAACCCTGCTGAATGCTGCCTTTCTGCAGGGTATAATCCTATCAAACACCATACACCTGTACATGTACATGTGCCAGTATGCAAAAACTCTGTACGGTATTAGGTTCACCACATGATGTTATTTCACACAAAATATTGCCAACTGTAATGTAGCGGTC